CATGTAGCATTTTATGCAAAGTTCACATTCTCTGTCCAAGAAAGTGTGCTCAATAAATGGTTCCTGCCTTTTTAAAAGGACCCTCATGGACCCTCAGGGCCTAGTGCATAGTATCAGTTAGGAATATTAAGCTATTAAGTGGACTTTCTAAAGTAGGTAAAGAAACTGATTATGTTGAACACATAATAAACCCTATTTAAAATGATGGCACAGCTTAGGACAGAGTTCTGACCAGTGTGTCCTTCAAGAAATTTTTAAAGTTAGGATTGTGTAACCAGCATCCCAAAGTAATTCATGTGCATACTGAGAAGCACTGCTCTGAAGTCATTTTTCCTACCAAAGTATAACATATGCATATAAACATAACAAGTCAAATTATTCATGGCTGTTAACATCTGCTATAAATGTTCCATGTACTTCTTTTAAAAAGTGATCATAGAAAAAATACTGAACTGAAAGTACTACACTTAATCTTAGCCAGAAGGGCAAGAAGCGATGAACTGAAAGTACTAAGCTGACCTGTTCATGGGGTTGAAGTAACTAAAGTTAATGTCATAAAGTAAAGTAGACTGTCCTCATTTTAGATTCTTTCTACCACTCTGTATCATTGATTGTTGCCTGCTCCAATTAACTGGTCATCTTTGGTTATCAGCTTATGATTTCTTGAGCTTTCTAGAGCCTTGTCTTCTGAAACAGGCACTGTCTAGTAGCTTATATGTAGTTGTACCCTTTTTAGGGCCCCAAATCTACTAGGATTACCATTTTTATTTGAAATAGGGGGTTGACAACCTGGTATAAAATGAAACCTTGAATTATCTCAAATTATAATTCATTAGCCTCCAAACTCTTCTATCAGAATAACCTTCAGATTTGAGTTTTTCAAAATTTTGTTTTATTTTCTTAAGATTTTATTTATTTATTTGACAGAGATCACAAGTAGGCAGAGGGGCAGGCAGAGAGAAAGGGGGAAGCAGGCTCCCTGCTGAGCAGAGAGCCTGATGCAGGGCTCGATTTCAGGACCCTGAGATCATGACCTGAGTCAAAGGCAGACGCTTAACCCACTGAGCCACCCGGGAGCCCCTCAGATTTGATTTTTTTAAATAAAAATTACCCATGGAGTAGGTCTTGAGTAAGGCTCACAAATCTGTATTTTTAAAAGAATACACAGATCTGATAGGGTGAGGAACTGCCATTCCAGGTCCTCAGGAGGTAGAAAATCATGAAAAGAGTAGTCAGGTTTATTTACTTTGTGGTAGTTTCAGTTGTTACATTGTTTTTCTTCTTTGTTTTTCTTAGTATTTTATAATCTTATGTTTTTTATTAATAATAGGAAGGATTCTAAAACAATAGACTTCTCAAGGAAATTAATGAAAATTTATAAAATCATATTTCTACTAGGATAATTGTATGGTGTTTGCCTTACTCAGTTGTAATGAATGAACTTGAAAAATTCTTAGTAAATAGCGTGTGAGGGGCAGCACACTGTTGTTTCATAAGCTCTAGGCAAGAGTCCTGGCTAACTAGCTGCATGTCCCCCTAGTGACTTCATCTGTGAAATTATAGTACAAATCTCCATGTCTAATAACATTCTTATCCAAGTAATGATTAAGAAGTGGTAAATAAGGGGGGATGTCAGAGATGAATTGAAGGACTATTATCCCTTTAACACATTTGATGCAGAAACGTACCTGCTCAGCGACTACCACTAGCAATGGTATGAATATAGATAGCCTGTTTGTGTGTTTGTCTTAATTTTGGAATAATTTTAGACTTTCAGGAAAGTTGTAACACTGATACAAATACATTCCAATTCTAACCTTTACCCAGATTTTCCAAATGTTATTTTACCACATTAACTTTATCATTCTTTTCCTCTCTCCTCTCTGCATAATCCTTTCCCCTCACATCCAGGTGTTTTTTTTGTTTTGTTTTGTTTTTTGTGTTTTTTTTTGTTTTTTTGGATACTTCGGAAAGAATGTTGCAGATAGATTGTCCTTCACCCATAAATAGTTCAGTTCAGTTTTCTATAAATAAGGACATTCTTTTATGTAACCACAATTATCAAAGTCAGGAAATTAACAATGATAAAGTACCACAATCAGATCAACCAACTTATTCAAACTTTGCTGTGGGGAGGGGAAAGAGTAAGGATTGGGAAGGAGATTGATGAGGGGGCTCACATACAGCACTCACTTGTCATGGCTCTTTATTCTTCTTCAGTCTTGCACTGTTAGTCTTTTATGACTTAGGCATTTTTGAAGAATATAGGCCAGTTTTGTAAAATGTCCTCCGATCCCATAATCGGTTTTGGATGGCACACTTTCATTGTTTAGATAACTAGATTTAATGTGTTTAATGTATATTATCAGTTGGGTTTTAAATGCTTATTCCGTTTGTAAAGAAAGAAAGGTTTCCTGTCCTGAGAGAATTTTTTTCAGTTTTGCAAATGGAAATACTAATTAAGACTTCCAGGACTGAAATTCTGAGGTTTTTTAAATTCAAGGCAATTTAGCATTGTTAGACCTTTAAAGTTGGCAAAGAGTGTATTAGGTGTTTGGTGTTAGGGAGCTGATAGAATATAATCAAAGAATATATAGACATTCTGTTAGATATTAGACATACCAAATAAAATTGGCAGTCATTATTCCTGTGGTAATGTATCATGGGGGTATAATAGGAGGTAGGTATGTATTTTGAATTTGGTGTTGAAAATTTTCAGTTCATTAAGGTCAAAGAGATGTAGGATTAGGCCTTAATGTTTGAGGTAATGATAAGCAATGTATTGAGGTAATAGGAAGAGAAGTGAACAATTAAATTAGGATTCTACTAGGAAATGTGTGTGGGAAATCGGTTCAGAATAATGACTTGAAAATTAAGCTGAAGATTTTAGAGAATGTACTCTAGCAGGATGTTTTAATGTAAAGTGACATCATCAAAGTAGCTTTGGATGGGACATTGTAGTAGTTATTTGTAAAAACACACTACAATGATAAGCAGAGCACCCCTATCCTACAAAAAGAACTGTTAGAAATTCGAGTGGGCTAGTGAACAGTTCATGGCACTGTATATTCATGGAACTTTATAAATAGAAATAATAGGAGCGAGAGGGTTAAGGGTATTGAGGAAATCAGTCAGCTGAGGTCACAATCTCGGGGTGGTAGGATCAAGCCCCTTGTTGGTCTCTGCACTGGACCTGGAGCCCACTTAAGATTCTCTCTCTTTCTCTCCCTTCTCCTCTGCCCCTCCCCCCTAAAAAAAGAGTGTTGAGGAAATCAAGACAGTATAAAAACACTGAATTCTTTCACTTTAGATTTTTTTATATATCAACACTGAGATAGTAATATAGACCTTGAGTGAATATGAGAATTTGATGTTAGTGGCTTCGGTGTATAAAATGGTTTGTTAAATTACACACTTTTAAGAAAGACAGTACAGAACTGGACCTTGGGCAGTTTATGTTACATAAAATACTCACGAATATCATTGTGTACCCACTGTGTGTCAGACATTGTTTTAGGTGCCAGGTATCTAGCATTTAGGTAGGTGAATGTAACTTTGTAGCACTTAACGCTGGAAAGGGGACTGGAAAGTCATGTAAATTATAATAATGTATAATTTGGATTGTGGGAAATTCAACCCAAAAAAGCTAGAACAATGGGAACTAAAAGTAAAAGAGGAAATGTGCTAACACAATTCACTCTCCAGGATTGTAACTCTCTTACTACTCCTTGTCCCTATAACTCTTTTTGCCTTTAAATGCCTCTCTGTAACTTTGCAACTTTGAACTGACAGTGTGTCCTTGGTATCCTCTCTGGCTTGTGGTCTGGATTGTGTACTTAACACTACTCTGCATTGAGATGGTGGACAGTAGCATAAAGCTAATGGTAAATTTTGTTTGAGCTACTAAATCTGCACTTTATGGTTTTCTGTACATTTTTCTTTTTTAAAAGGACACTGTCAAGTACTTTTAAATGGTTATTTGTAATAACAATTTTCTTCTCATATTTTTTGTTTGTTTCTATTGACTGCCCTTCCTTTAATTTTCTTGTTTGGAATGGAATACTAGTTAAGGAGGTTTTTTAATTTGTCTCAAATGATCAAGATTAAAGGTTCTAGGAAAAATAAATGTTTATTTCTATTTCTTGTTGGTAAAATAATAGTATTTTATGGAGAGTATTCCTTTAAAATTTTAAAAATATTTTAGAATAAGATGTAATTTGGATTTATTATTATTTAATACTGTGGGGTTTTTTTTTTTAAACTTCAAAAAATAATCAGTGTGTTAACTTCTTTAAGAAATGGTTTTTCGGGGCTCCTGGCTGGCCCAGTCAGTAGAGCATGCAGCTCTTGATCTCAAGGTTTTGAGTTCAAGCCCCACCTTATGCATAGAGTTTACTTTAAAAAAAAAAAAAAAAAGAAAAGAAAAGAAAGATTTTCTTCACATAGAGGTATATATGACTTAATGCATCTTTTTATATGCTAGTCCAAAAAAAGTACGAGTTTAGCCCTCAGTGTTCCATTAACACTGCAGATAAATTTCAACCCAACTCTCTTTCAGTGGCTTAAAATCTGAGTTTGCTAGCTATCGTAACCTTGTTAATACTGGAAATTTTGTTGGTGGTTTCAGTGTTCTGGTATTGATACTAGTATGTATGATATTAGTTGCTATAATTGTGTTTTAAACTAAGCTTCCAAGAACAAATAAAAGTTTTGTGTATGACATTAGATGTTAAAATTATTACTTAAGTTAAACTGTCAAAAACAAATACAGGTTTATTTTTCTTACGTTTTCTAGTCTTTCCCCCCCAGATTCTATCGCCACACACACATTAAATTAAAATGTGTGAGATTTCTCTTTCAATTTTAATTTCCTGTTATAACATATAGGAATTAATGGTTAGTGGAATGAATATTTTTTGATGGAATTTTTAGTTAAGTAACTCTTAACTTGAGGAATGGCCTTGTCAAAATATTTGCTGACCACAGCTGCTTTGTTGTAGGAGGCCTGACAAATGGTAGTGGTCGATATATCTCTGCAGCACCTGGAGCAGAAGCAAAATACCGAAGTGCTTCAAGCACTTCCAGTCTGTTCAGCTCCAGCAGCCAGCTCTTTCCTCCTTCTCGACTTCGGTATAATAGGTCTGATATTATGCCTTCTGGCCGAAGTAGATTATTGGAAGATTTCAGGAACAACCGTTTCCCAAACCTTCAACTTAGAGACTTGATTGGACACATAGTTGAGTTTTCTCAAGACCAGCATGGTTCTAGGTAGGTGATTATCATTTATGATACTCTGCACTGTATTTTTGCTTTGAAAATTACTGCCTTGTAAGAGCATATTTTTCTTGCCTGGGGCCATTTAATCTGCGTGAAAGTTGGAAGTTTTTAAAAAATAAATACCTGATAAGGATTTTTTTTCTTTGGTATTAGGACAAATGATAAAAATCAAGGTTTTTAAAAATTATTTATGGTTTCCCAGTTTTCTATAATGAGAATATTTTTATAGTGGATGTATAGCAGTGCCTTTTTATTAGATTATTTTTATTACTTTGACTCACTTTAATTTTCCTTTTAAAATAATGCTCTGAAGTACATCTCTGGACTAAAGTACTTGTCCCTGATGTAGACTTTGTCTTAAAAAAAAAAAATTATAAAGAAAGTTAAATGTTTGTGCTCCTTTATAGATTTCTATTTGATGTGATGTGGGTTGAGACATTTCACTTGTAACACATTTATTAAATTTGAATTGTGTTTTCCTTTTATAGTTTTATTTTACCTCCCTATGGTTGAAAATTCCGTTAAGAGTAGCACATCAACCTTGTATCACTCACCGTGGGTAGATTTTATTTGTAAGAGCTTCTTTTATTGGGGCGCCTGGGTGGCTGTCATGGAGTGTCTGCCTTCGGCTCTGGTCAGAACCCAGGTTCATGGGATCCAGCCCTGCATTGGGCTCTTTGCGCAGTGAGAAGCCTTCTTCTCCCTTTCCCACTCCCCCTGATTGTGTTCCTTCTCTCACTCTCTCTCTTTATCAAATAAATAAATAAAATCTTTTTAAAAAAAAGAAAAAAGAGCTTCTTTTATTATGCTCTAAGCCTAGATATTATTTAGTAATATTATGAGAAAATATGTGAATAACCAATAAAATATCATTTTTCTTCATTGATTATAATGCAACCAGGACTAACTTAAGTGTTAAACTTCTTTATGTCCAGACTTTTTACCTAACTAGTAGTTACTTCAAATTAAGCTGTTATAAAAGAAAAAAAAATAATCAAGGTGGTATAAAGAAATGCTTCATAACTTTTGTCTTTTTTGCTTTAAATTGACTGTTCACAGTACTAAATGTGTTAGTACTATTTCTGGAAATAAATTTATGTGTATATATGTGGGGATGTGTAATAATACTCAAGTCAGATTTTTACAGAAGCTGTTTCCAGTGTGTTGTCATGGCTTGTAAAATTTTTTCTACATAGATTTATTCAACAAAAACTAGAGAGAGCTACTCCAGCTGAGCGACAGATGGTATTTAATGAAATTCTACAAGCAGCCTATCAATTAATGACAGATGTTTTTGGAAACTATGTTATACAGAAATTTTTTGAGGTAAGCACACATACGTGTTTGTATATCTATCCAACTATATGTTTTTAATGCTTAGAAAAGTCCAGGAAGTTGGGTAAGAGTCATTTTCATGTAAAAACTTGTGCACTTGGGGGGCATCCTGGGTGGCTCATTTGGTTGAGGGTCCTTTTTTGGCTTGGGTCATGGTCTCAGGGTCCTGGAATCAAGCCCACATTGGGCTCCCTGCTCAGTAGGAAGTATGCTTCTCCCTCTGCCCCTCCGCCCGCTCATGCGCTCACTCTCTCTCTCTGAAATAGATAAAATCTTCAAAAAATAACATATATTTTATATATATAAAGCTTTATATATAAAGCTCATTATGTGCACACACACACAGACACACATCTATATAAAACTCATACATATATGAGCTTGGGAGAAAATACTTGCAAATGCTCTATCTGATAAAAGATTTTATATCCAGAATATATAAAGAACTCCTAAAACTCAACAGAAAGACAACCCAATTTAAAAAAATGTACAGGGGACGCCTGGGTGGCTCAGTTGGTTAAGCAGCTGCCTTCGGCTCAGGTCATGATCCCAGCGTCCTGGGATCGAGTCCCACATCGGGCTCCTTGCTCATCAGGGAGCCTGCTTCTCCCTCTGCCTGCCATTCTATCTGCCTGTGCTTGCTCTCTCTCCCTCTCTCTCTCTAACAAATAAATAAATAAAATCTTAAAAAATAAAAAAATTAAAAAAAATAAAAAATAAAAATAAAAATAAAAAAATGTACAGGAGGGGGTGCCTGGCTGGCTCAGTCAGTGGAGTGTGCCATTCTTCATCTCAGGGTTGTGGGTTCCAGTCCTCTGTTGGGTGTAGAGATTATTTAAAAAATCTTTAAGAGGACTTGAATAGACATTTCTCTGTAGAAGATACACAAATAGCCAGTGAGCAGCACATGAAAAGAAGCTTGCACAGTTAACATCAGAATATAGTTGAGAATTATCTGGTTTGAATGTATGGCTCAGAAATTAAAGGAGATTTTGTTTGTTTAAAGTGAAGACGAAAGATGTTTAAAAGAATAACAGGTGGTTAATGTATTAGTAACAAGGAAATTATAGATAGTGAGACTTAACCCCCCAAAAAGTAATAGTTATTTCAGGCAGCTATGGATTTATCTTAATTTTTCTTTTCTTTTCTTTCTTTTTTTTTTTTAAAGATTTTATTTATTTCAGAGAGAGAAATCACAAGTAGGCAGAGGCAGGCAGGCAGGGGGGAGGGGGCGGGAGCAGGCTTCCTGCTGAGCAGAGAGTCCGATGTGGGACTTGATCCCAGGACCCGGAGATATGACCTGAGCCAAAGGCAGAGGCTTAACCCACTGAGCCACCCAGGCGCCATTAATTTTTTTTACTCAAATCCTCCTTCCTACATGATTACCAAACGTGATATTTTTAAAATAGAATGAATAGGCTGCAAACAGTGGGTTTTTCAGGTTTAATGAAATGATATTATGATTTATTTTAACATTAATTTCTTTTCCATCAGTTTGGGAGTTTGGATCAAAAATTAGCCCTCGCTACTCGTATCCGGGGTCATGTTCTGCCTTTAGCCTTGCAGATGTATGGCTGTCGTGTTATTCAGAAAGCATTAGAGTCTATTTCATCTGACCAGCAGGTAATTGTAAGTTAAGACAAAATTTTTGTATTTTATTTGGTTTTTGAATTCTTACTTTATAATCTTGGAGTGAAAATTAAATATTTCCACAATTAGAATAAAATACTTAAAAAAAAATCTGTCTCAGACAGTTACATTATTGTTATCCAGTAGATCTTTGATCTGTCCTTCATTTGCTTCATCTTTTCATCTTTAAGTGAAGATACTTGAGTGCCTCCTGTGTGGTAAGCAGAATACTGCATGATGGGTATTTTTGCTATACTTGCTTATTTGATTTTCTGTAGTACCAGGAATACTGTTCACTATTTCCAAAGTGTACTTAGATTGTACTTAGTTCTATCATAAGAATAAAAAAATGTTTCGTTGAGTAGAGTGCTCTTTATTTTTAAGTTTTCTTTTAATTCCAGCTAACATACAACTGTGGAGCACTTCACAGATTTGTGTGTTATCTGTATACAGGTGCCATGCTAATCTCTGTACCATTCCCGTTTTAGTATATATGCTTCGGAAGTGAGCACAAGAATAAAAAAAGAAATTTTAAAACCAGTTGCATTCCTATATGCCACTTAAAAATTACATAAATAAAATTCTTAAAAATTTAATAAAGTTCTTAAAAATTTCGTTTAAAAAGTTCTTAAAAAATTCAGTAAGAAAAGTAACCTAAGAATTTTATTAGCAAGATTCACAGTTTTTAAGGTAAAGAGGGAAGAGAACACATATAAATTAAATGGGAATATACTGTATTCTTGATGAAAAAGTCTATTAAAATTTTATTTTAAATTTAAATAAGATTAATGCGAATTCCCATCATGTGCTCATGGGAATTATAACTGATCAGAATAGACAGGAATATTAAGAGGATGAGGATAAATGCTGATCTGCTAGATTTTTCAATTGCGAAGCATTATCACTAGTGTGGTTCTTGTAGGAGATTAGGCAACCTTTAGAAATGGAATTCATAACCTCAAATAGATACCATTATATAAAATATATATGTGTGTGTATATGTGTGTGTGTGTGTATAAAACTAGTTTATGTAATACAGTAAACTTAGAGTAAAGGAAATAATTATTTCTTAAAGGGCATTGGTAATTAGTAAATTTGGGGAGAGATTACATTTGATTCTCCACCCACATATATTATTATATAATAAAGTAAATTCCAGAATTAAAAATAGTAATAACGCATACATGGATGTGTGTGTGTGTGTGTGTGTGTGTGTGTGTGTGTGTGTGTAAAAATTTGTGAGAAAATAATATTACTTCCATGGAGGAAATCCTGAGTTGTAGAGTAATTGAAGATATGTCACAATGGAGAAGATCGACAAATTTTGATTATTGTAGATGCTTACATAACTGCTCTACCGTAAGTCTCAAGCTCATTTAGATACTTTAAAGAATGAGATCTTGGGCGCCTGGGTGGCTCAGTTGGTTAAGTGTCTGCCTTCGGCTTGGATCATGATCTCAGGGTCCTGAGATCGAGTCCTGAATCTGGCTCCCTACTCTGGGAAATCTGCTTTTCCCTCTACCTGTCCCCCTTGTTCATGATCGCTCTCTCTCTCTCTTTCTCTCTCTCAAATGGATACATCAAATCTTAAAAAAGAATGAGATCTTGCCACTTGAAATAACATGAATGGGTCTAGAAGGCATTATACTAAGTGAAATAAGTCAGAGGAAGGACAGATACCTTTGATTTCACTTATAACATGGAATCTGGTAAACAGAACAAACAACAAACTCTTAAATACAGGGAACAGACTCTTGGTTCCCAGAGTGGTGGTGGGTGGCAAGTGGGGGAGGCAGTAGGTGAAGGGGATTAAGAGGTATAAACCTTCAGTTAAAAAATTAAAAAGTCAAAAATAAAGTCATGGTGGGGCGCCTGGGTGGCTCAGTGGGTTAAAGCCTCTGCCTTCGGCTCAGGTCATGATCCCAGGGTCCTGGGATCGAGCCCCGCATCGGGCTCTCTGCTCAGCGGGGAGCCTGCTTCCCTTCCTCTCTCTGCCTGCCTCTCTGCCTACCTGTGATCTCTGTCTGTCAAATAAATAAAAAAAATAAATAAATAAAATAAAGTCATGGAAATGGAAAGTACAGTGTAGGGAATATAGTCAGTAATGTAATAATGTTTCATGGCGACTGTACCTTTTGTGGTAAGCAGTGTGTAGGGTATATAATTGTTGAATCACTATGTTGCACACCTGGAACTAATATAACATTGTATGTGGATTATACTTCAGTAATAAAGATATCTTAAATGTCTTTAATATTTGAAAATATAAATCAGTGAGAATAAGCCTTATGTGCACCTGTTAATAATGGTGTTCTTTGGAGACTTTAGAATATTTTATTTTGTTACTTAGTTTATAGCTAAACATCTGTGTTATATCTTAGCTTAACAGAATTCCTGTAGAGTTACGTCAGTATGTAGTTGAGAGTTTCTTTGGGTGAGAGAGACTTTAAAGTGATACCTTCATATACTGTTTGTACTCCATTTCTTCACAGTACTATTTCCTGTTGGCACTAGTAAGGGATACTGATTATCATGTGGCTGCCTCTGTTTTTCTCTAAGGATTAAGATGTTTATTTAGTAAAAGGCTTATAATTTTATTTTAAAAAATGAGGATCACTAGCTGGAAGAAAATGCAGTTAGTAAATAAACCTTACTCTAAATAAGCTTAACCTTACTGGTAAGCAAAGAAACAAATGAAGGAAGTTACTTTTGCCAGTTAAATTAAAAAAAAACTAAAATTTCCCTAGAATTCATTTCCAAAGAGACACCTAGGTGGCTCAGTCAGTTAAATGTGTCCAACTCTTGATTTCACTCAGGTCATGATCTCAGGGTTGTGAGATCAAGCTCCACATCGCTCCCTCGCCGTCTGCCCCTCCCCCCACTTGCATGTACTCTAAATAAGTAATAAATTTTTTTTAAAAATTTAGAAATTATTTTTTGAGGGTGGGGGTTGCTAAGTAGAGAAAACGTATAAATTCTGAATTATATATATTGTTAGCTGAGAAGGATGATGTAGAAGGTGTATACAATGAAGAGAATTGTTTAAATATGGCAGATTTAGCATCACTAGCTTATTTTTCAGGAAGTGTCATTTACATTACAGTCCTATAAAATGTTTTGATCTCACCATCAATGACTTGGACAGGGGCACATTTTAAACTTTGATATCTAAAAAATTGCAAAGAAGTTTTGAGTATACTTTTGTACTCTATATTGTTAATCCTGATATCTTGCCTGATGAGGTAATTTTGTAAATGGTCTTTTTTGCAGAGTGAAATGGTAAAGGAGCTAGATGGTCATGTACTCAAATGTGTGAAAGATCAGAATGGAAACCATGTTGTGCAAAAATGTATTGAATGTGTTCAGCCACAGTCACTACAGTTCATCATTGATGCTTTCAAAGGACAAGTAAGATTGATTTTTGCTTGCTAATTAGTTAGGGCATTCTTTTAGAATTTGAATGTTAACATATTTCTCGTAAGTCACAAGATTACAAACATACAAGACGAAACAGTAAATGTACAGTGATTTCTGCCTCTTTCATAGAGTGCATCAGTTAGATAGCTTCATTTTTTTTGAAGCTGAAAACTATAGAAATAGGAGTTTAATAATATCACTTTAGGATTCCAGCTCTTCGAATTATAAACCCACCCGTGTTTTCCAAATTTTTAGGGAGAAGGAAAGGAAGGAAGACTTCAGATCCTTTAGTAAGACACAGAAACTAAATACCAATAAGTAACTAATACATAGTAATAAATAGCTGCTAATTATATCATGACTACCTCGCCCTGCAGTCTGCTTTCGTTATTACATGCCCTTCATCTTCTGGTTTGGTACCTTTTGTTCAAAATGTCTATTAGCTCCTGAGGTGCCTGGGTGGCTGTCAGTTAAGCATCCTGCTCTCAGTTTCAGCTCAGATGATGATCTTGTTGTGGGATTGAGCCCCATGTTGGCCTATGCTCAGTGTGGAGTCTACTTCAGATTCTTTCTCCCTGTCCCTCTTATTCTCTCTCTCTCTCTCAAATAAATAAATAAAATCTTAAAAAAAAAGGTGGGGGGCTGCGTGGCTCAGTCGGTTAAGGGTCTACCTTCAGCTTGGGTCATGATCCCAGGCAGCATCAGGCTCCTTGCTCAGCAGGGAGCCTGCTCCTCCCTCTACCTGCTGCTTCCTCTGCTTGTGCTCGCTTTCTGTCTCTCCAACAAATAAATAAAATCTTTTTTAAAAAGGGAGAAAAGAGAGTATCTGTTAGCTCCTAAGCTGAGCACCCCGCTTTCCAGTCTTTACTAACAGGTTGATGGTCATACTGAAGGTGACTCCCCACCCTTCTATTTTAAATGAATTCTGCATGTCCTCAGGAACCTGTCTATCTCATAAAACTTTCCAACAATGTCAGATAATGAAAATGTATTTCTTCCGATTGTTTTTAAGGTGTTTGTACTTTCAACTCATCCTTATGGCTGCAGAGTGATCCAGCGCATCCTCGAGCATTGTACTGCAGAGCAGACCTTACCTATCTTAGAAGAGCTCCACCAACACACAGAGCAGTTGGTTCAGGTATCAACTCCCTAATAGTCTTAAATGTTTGTGTTTTTGAAAATGGTTCAAAACATAGGCAAGTATAATGTATTGCTAATGTAGAAACACATAGTGAGACAAAAACGTGGCATATTCTCCTGACTGTATACTGCTGAATTTTTAGAAAAAATAATTAACATCTTTTTAAAGAATAATCATTATTCTTAAGGAATGACTTAAGGAAAGTAATTTTTAAATATCTGTACTTAGGATCAATATGGCAACTATGTTATTCAGCATGTACTGGAACACGGGCGACCTGAAGACAAAAGCAAAATTGTTTCTGAAATCAGAGGAAAAGTGTTAGCCCTGAGTCAACACAAATTTGCCAGGTATTGCAATATTTTCTGATTCCAAGGGTCAGTTCTTCTAATTCTTTGGCTTTTATTACTAAACAAAGTAATACATGGAGACTGACATTAGAACATAATCTTTCTTGGGATACCTGGGTGGCTCAGCGGGTTAAGCGTCTGCCTTTGCCTTGGGTGTCCTGGGTTCGAGTCCTGCATCAGGTTCCTTGTTCAGCAGTGGGCCTGCTTCTCCCTCTGCCTGCCGCTCCCCCTGCTTGTGCTCTCTCTGACAAATAAATCTTCAAATAAAATTTTAAAAATAAAAATAAAAAACTTTAAAAAACATAATCTTTATTTTAGGAGGGGGGAAAAGCACATACCGAACGTTGCTTTTATTCTCACATGACAAATTTGTTTGCCCACAAATATTCCATTTTTAAAGTCTGTATTCAGAAAATGATTTGTCTCCCCAGACCTATAAGTGCAAATTCCTTAGTGCATGTTAATGAAAATCTCAGACCTTACTGATGACATGGTTTCCTCTTTTTTGAACTATAATCATTATTTTAAGAGGCATATAATTAAACTTGTGAGTATCCAGAGTGCGTTCTTCTATGATACTAATTTCTGTTTTAACAGTAAAGGGTAAGAGAATTACAAGGGAATACTATCTTGACTTACGTCTTCCGATGTGTTGAGCAGATTCTTTCAAAAGCAAGGATATTTAGCTGTAAAGAAAAAAGTAACAAAATACAGGGTGCCTGAGTGGTGCAGTTAGTTAAGCATCCAGCTCTTGGTTTTGGCTAAGGTTGTGATCTCAGGGTCAAGATTGAGCGTGGAGTTAGTCTCTGTGTTTAGCCTGGAATCCAGTTGGGTTTCTTCCTCTCTTTCTGCCTTTCCTGCTCCTGCAGGCGTGTGCACCTTCCAGCTCTCAAATAAATAAATCTTCAAAGAAAAAAGTAAGACTGGGTGGCTCAGTCTAGGCGTCTTCCTTTGGCTCAGGTCATGGTCCTGGGGTCCTGGGATCCAGCTCTGTGTCAGGCTCTCTGCTCAGTGGGGAGTCTGCTTCTCCCTCTCCTTCTGCCTCTCCTCCCCACTCTTCTCCACCCGCCCCCCGCTTCCTCTCAAATACATAAATCTTTTAAATAACTTTCTGTGTATATACTTAATTTTTAGCAATGTAGTAGAAAAGTGTGTTACTCATGCCTCCCGTGCCGAGAGAGCTTTATTGATTGACGAAGTTTGCTGCCAGAATGATGGTCCTCACAGTGCCTTATACACCATGATGAAGGACCAGTATGCCAATTACGTGGTTCAGAAGATGATTGATATGGCTGAACCTGCTCAGAGAAAGATAATCATGCATAAGGTAATACAGTTCATAGCACTTAAAATAGATGATTCGTTTGTGTGACTCAGACTACAGTTTTAGCTTCCTAGGTTTTAATTTCCTCTTCTGTTATAACTGGAGGGGGAAAAAAATAATCAGTGGATAACCTTTGAAAAATGTAGGTATGGTGTACCATTTCATTATATTCCTAAAGTGATCTCAATAAAATTGCATTCATTCTTATCTATTGACCTGTCTTTAGCATTCCGTTTTATTTAAATATATTTGGTTTACCGTAATACATGGATTGAACATTAATTTTAAAATCGAATTAGGTTTTCTCACTAACCTAATACATTTTCCTAAAGAGAAAATTTATTTTGATTGGGTTTTTTTTTTTTTTAAACAAGCTATTTTCTCCCTAGAATCTAATGATTCTTTTAAAATGCATTGATTTCCATGGGAAAACTGCTAAAAAGAATCTGGACAAAATGCTACATACTCAAATCTTTTTCTAAATCAATTCATTTAAAAAACAGGTGCCTAGGGGCGCCTGGGTGGCTCAGTGGGTTAAAGCCTCTGCCTTCGGCTTAGGCCATGATACCAGGGTCCTGGGATCGAGCCCCATGTCGGGCTCCCTACTTAGTGGGGAACTTGTTTTTCCTTTCCCTCTGCCTCTCCCCTGACTTGTGCTCTTTCTCTCCCTCTCTCTTTCTCAAATAAAATGTGTAAAATATTTAAGAAAAATTTTTTTTTGCTAGTCTGGGTAGAAAGATAATATGATTCTTTTCATTTGCATTTTATAAACTATTAGTGAGATTTTGAACAATTTAAATGTATTAGCCATCACATATCTGATTGCTTATTCATATCTTTTGCTCCATTTTCTATTGAATTTTTATCCAAGAGACTTGAGCTAGAAAATTCTGTCGTCATCAACTTTTTAAGAGCTTAATAGTTCACTAGCGATGCTTTCCTGCTGTGTTTGGAGCCCCTCTGCTGTTTGCATTTGTAATAGTGTAGAAGTAGCCGTTTATTTATTTATTAAACAATTGTGAGAGTAGAAGTTTGGAGAGATTGACTAGAATGAACTGCCTTTGCAAACAACTTTTCTTTAAAGGATTTAAATATTAAAATCCGATTATTCTTCTAAATCACTGAGATTTAGGAGTGCTTTTTTAAGAAACCAGAAAATAAGATTTACTAAGGAGATTATTTGTTTTTCAGATTCGACCTCACATTACTACTTTGCGCAAATACACATATGGGAAGCATATACTGGCCAAGTTGGAAAAATATTATTTGAAAAATAGCCCAGATCTAGGGCCTATTGGAGGACCACCAAATGGAATGCTGTGAAGGGAAAAGAGAAAGAAGATGATGTAACCATGTGAAAAGAATGTTTCTTTTGTGAATTATCAAAACACAACTCAACTATGAATCTTCAAAATTTTTTTTAAAGCAAAACTATTTATTGACTTTATTCATCCATTTGTAAATTTTTTAAGGTTCTTGTGTATATTTGGGGGGTGGGGGTGGTGAATTATAAATTATATTCAGCCCTGAGTGGAGACCTATCAGATTGGATTGCTGGCAAAGCACAGAATGCCTGTATATGATGTAACTATCAAAAAAAAGCTGTCACATATTTTGTAAATTTTTACCTTGTAAAGTCACAAAAATAGTTTTTAAAGGAAAAAGTACAGTATTCTTTTAATAAACTGGCTTGCAGTCTGGTAGGTCTGTGGACCCCATAGCACAACAGGTTTATAGAGATGTATATAGAAATATAGTCCTTAATTTTTTTTTTGTCCTTCATGTGAAGCCTTTTATAACCGATTAACAATCAACTGCATAAATATTATTAATATTTTAAAAAAAAAGTTAAGTTGTATTTTGGTAATTCACAAACTATCATGCAAATAAAAACTCGGCAACTAAGATAAGAATTAAATGATTTGAGATGAAAAGAACTTATATTATTTACAGGATGTGATTTTAATACAAATACTGCCCTAAAACGTCTCTGGCAATGTACAGATGTATATACTCACATATGTAATTGTTGTAAGAGGTAGAAAAAAAACAAAATCATGGTGACACTTCCATTCAGTTAAATGCACTAATTGAAAAGTTAAGTCCCTTTTTAACTTTTCAGTTTGGTTTGCAATCTGAGAAAGAGTGGAAATTTGTATATTGTTTTGCTTATAGAATACAAGAACATGTTGAGGAAGTGTTGAGCTTTATTTTGCTTTTTCATAGTAGATTTTGAGAAGGTAGGAACCAGATAGAGGTGAAAGGGGCCACTGAAAAGTGAATTTGATAGCTCAACATTTAAGCATGACTACATATTCAGATAGCTTTTTTTGCTTCGTATAAATATATGCATTGTGTGTGTAGTAATAGATGTAACTTTACACTTTGAAAGCAAATCTTGTTTCAATGTTTATTATAAAAGCCTTGCTAATTTAGTAGTGATGCTTTCCTTGGTTGTACAGGTGTACATTTGTAAACCTTCATGCTGTAAATGGAATTCATTTTATCTCTTTGGGAAACCTTTGCATTTTAGTGTACATTTATGTCCCTGCCCTCTTTGACCTGGCATATAGTGTTGTATAATGTAAATTTATTTCTCCAAATTGAGAGTGATTTTTTAAAAATTTTTTATCTTTATATGGTTTCAGAAGTATGAACCAGCTTTCTTTTTATTATTGTGGGGAACATTTTCTTTTATAACATAGTTGTTGACTGTTAATATGGACATACTAGGATTTGGATCACTTTCAAGAAGTCAGGGTATTGTGCATAATAGAAAGTATTGGACTGAGATATTTGGTTACCATGGAGGCCAATGCTTTTTCCATCTTATTAAATGTGATGTGATTTTTTTCTTTGTACAGAAGAGTACTGTATTTTTGAATAGCCTATTCCCAAGTAAGAGCAAATCTGTATGATAACATTTTTTTCTCTGGACATAAGACATAACAGTAACATGATGTACATTTACAAGCGGCCTTATGTACATTTCCCAACAATCTTTTTAAGGCAAAATTGTGACCATATGTGTATAATTAAAATCGTTTTTAATCCTTTGCCTATGAAAATATTTTGGAAAAAAAACCTTGCTTTGTATATTCAGTTTCTGAAAGATAAAAGAAAGTGCTTTGTATTTTGTTGAAGTCAGTATTTTGTATAAAACCATTTATGTTGACCCACTTCTGTTTAGTGCTGAAAACTAATGAACCATGCTATCTCCTTCGATTGAACATGTAAGGGATTTTTTATTAGAAGTCTGCAGAAAAAAAGCATTCTTCTGAGCACAATATTGAATATAAAGGTTTTATCACTTAGCTGTTCATATCATGAGCCTAAAAATAATGGCATAAAGTTTGGGGTGCCAGGCATACTTTTTCACGTTTGACATTGAGTTATTCTAATTTTCTAACCCAACATTCCGTGTTGAGTCCATTAAATCCAGCCACTTGTCACTGCCCCCTCTCCTAGTCATACTGGTTCATAGCGTGTCCCAGTCACAGTGGCAGAGCTTTCCCCCCACATGTAAAGCTGCTCTCTCCCACCCCATCCTACTTTGTTTTGCCAGCCTCAGAGTGTCTTGGCCCCGTGTTGAAATTTGTTCCCAGTATCAACTCATGATTGTGAGCTGATACCCAAGTTGTTCTTGTTGGAGATTGGTAAGTGACTTTCCTGGATTTGCATAGTTGAATTCCTGGTTTTCCTTTTTCCTACCCTCTATTGGCACGGGCAGTTACCTCTGCAAATTTAGAAAGCCCTAGGGGATGGCTGGGAGATGGAACCTTCTTAGGGTTTTGACGTTTCCATGTATCCCAGTGTTGACACCCCAAACTTCCCAATACTTTGGGGCCTATTCTAGAAGAATGTGTATTACTGTAGAAATTTTATGGTCTGCCATTTTGGTGCCCGCCTCTCTGATTCCACCGTAAGTTGGTTTGGAGTTTGCTAAAATCAGAACATCACATTTCAGAATAAAGAAACTTTAATTGGGCAGAACCACTTAGACTTTACTCTTGAGTGTCTCCTTGTGATCCGGATGGTTTCTGGGCCAGTTTGTCTAAGTCCTGGCTCTTCGTGGTTCATATGAAATCATGTTCTCTTCACTTTGTATATTATGTATAAATTAGAAAATGAAAAATGTGTGAATAACATTGTATGAAATAAACCTGGTCTTGTGTTTTTCTCTAGATAAAACACCCTTCTGTACCTCAATTATAATTCAGATTGCCCATTCAAGTTTACTCTGATTTAAGGAAAGGCAAGTATTTTTATCACATGGATGCAAATCTGGGGCTACTGATTACTCTGATGGTATTTCTATCTTTTGATTAGTATTTAGGATCTCTTGTCTAATTACATAGAGTGATTACACACTTCATAGGATGAAACTTTTAGCCTGTTTCCTTGATAAAATGATACTCAAGGTTGTTTTGAGGATTAAATTAAATCGCTTACCTTTACCTATAGGTGTTTGTTTCCTTTCCACACGAACTTTCAGAGACTGTTGTCTAAAGGAGAAAACAGTTTGGGTTCAGGCTTGGATTTGAAGTTTACTTGCGACTTAGAAACCTTGTGACCTTGGGTGTGTTAACTCAGCCTCAGTGTCACCCCCTGTACCATGGATGAGTACTATTTAGGTCATTGATTTTAAGAGTTGAGAGTATCTTAAAAAGATACGTAGAACATAGAATGCTAGTATATAATATATAGAATGCTAACACTATTTCCGTTTTCTTCTCCCTTCTATAGCTATTCAGTTTTAGGTTTTTTAAGATTTCATTTGTTTGACAGAGATCAAGTAGGCAGAGAGGTAGGCAGAAAGAGCATGGGAAGTAGACTCCCTGCTGAGCAGAGACCCCCCCCCGCCCCCCCATGTGGGGCTCGATCCCAGGACCATGAGATCATGACCTGAGCCGAAGGCAGAGGTTTAACCCACTGAGCCACCCAGGTGCCCTGCTATTCGTTTTGTTTTAAACCATACAGATAATTTGATATAATCCAAAGTAGAGATCTATATAAAACTATGTTGGAAAAGGCATTTTCATCATACACATTTTTAATTTTATGCCAGTTTTAATTTCATCTTGTTTTGTTTCTGTTCTAAGCTGAAAGCAACCCTTCTGGAATTGTTGACCTATCCCACATCTTAGAGATGAAATTAAGGGACCCTAGAAAAAGTAAATATTACATCGTCCCACCCTAGATTACTAACCTAAGAACGTCAAGTTTCCTAAGGTTACCTGGATAGTAGTAGTTTTAAGCGCCCTCCTGACTGATTTCCCAGGAAGGTTGTGGTTGGGGGTTGGGCCAGGGGGGAGGGCGAAGGAACCCCAGAGGAGCAGTGTTCAGTGTCTACCTTACTGGCCGGCTTTCTAGGTCTGATTTAACAACTGATGGGATTTGAATGCTCCAGACAGGAAACGACTGAACACAGGTGAGAAGCAGGGAGCGCTGTGGCACTGGGTGCTCGCCTCCAGGAGGCTGCCATGCACAAGAGCGCCAGCTCCGTTGTGTGATCCTGGCCTGCTAGGCCTCAGGATTACCCATCCGTAAAGTTGGAATACTGTGAGCTACCGGAGTGGCTCAGCCGATTAAGCCTCTGCCTTCCACTCATGTCATGATCCCAGAGCCCTGGATGAGTCCCACATCAAGTCCTACCTTGGGCTCCCTGCTCAGTGGGGGGTCTGCTTCCTCTGCCTCTGCCCCTCCCCCTGCTCATGCACTCATGCCTTCTCTCTCTCAAAATATTAAAAAGTCGGAATACTCGGCTGCACACAGAACCTTGGATCTGAGGAGTGTTTGGTACTAAGAACCTAAGAGACCTACAGACATCCTACAGGAGGCTCACAGTTTGGTAACATTTTTATTTAACTTCATTACCTCCAGATCCTGTAGACAGTTTCTCATTTCTTCAATGTTTCAGTCACAGAACTTTTTTTTTTTTTTTCTAAATACTCACCAGGAATTTAAATCAAATGAAATAGGTCTGTAGTTTGAAGAAAAAATGGCTAGGTTGAGCTTAATTCAAGTTTTCTTGGACATCAGAGTCTTACAGTTCAGAATCAGGACTCTGGGATCAGCCGAGATTCCACACCTTTAGCTTTATGTCATTAGGTAAATGATTTCAACTTTTAAGCCTTCCTCTCTTCGTGTGTAGGCAAGGGAAATGAGACCTACCGACTAGAATTGCAAGGATTAAATGAGATCTGTGACGTCCAGGGGTGGTGAGTGATTTCTGTTACAGTGAGTTAACAAAAGGTTGGGGAGGGGTTTTAATTTGCCTACATGCAGCCTCCAAAACATTGGGATTGGAGCTCATTCATGTTTCTGCATATGAGCCGATAAGTCTCTCAAGTTGGTAGGAAAACTGTTAAAGATACGATTAAGGAATTTAACAGCATTTTAGTTATTGGTACATTTAATTTTTTTTTTTTTTTTTTTTTTTTTTTTTTGGTACTAATACAAGTAAGAGCTTTGCCCTGATGGCTGCCAGGATGTGAATAGGGAGTTGCCCTATGTCCGGGAGCAGTGGAGTGACCTGTCTGCATGATGGGCAAAGCCTGGAAGTAGCAAGAACCTGGAGGGAGGGCGCGGTTGGCACTGCAGATTACAGAGAGACGTCCGCATCGTGACGTCCAAGCCCACCTCACCTTAGTCTCACCCAGGTCTTTCATGGGAAGAAGCCCTGAAAAGTTGGGTCTCAGCTCCTGGTGGGTCCGTCTTACACCAAGGGTCGGGGGGGGGGGGAAGCATGGGGATCACCCTGGAGGGAGGAGGGATGTTGGGGAGCCTTTCCTGCCCCCGCTTTGAAATTCAGTTCTGACATCATCCAGGACACATTCTATTGAGTAGAATGCAGTAGGTTTCCGAAGAAAATTAGAAAAGGCCAAAAATATACCTTAGAAATACATCTACTACTAGAAATATATCTTAGAAATGTTTAAAATACATTTCCTGATAACTCCTAGGTTAGAGATAATCTCATTTGGAATAAACCATTTGGGCCAACTTCAAAACGAGTAGCAGTGCTATATATCAAAACTTGGGGGTCTTGGGCCAAAGGCTACTCAGAGAAAAACATCTCTCCAAGAAAGTCTGAAGATAATTTAAGAAGCTAGTAAGGGGTGCCTGGACAGCTCAGTCAGACGAGTGGCTGACTCCTGGTTTCTGCTTGGGTCATGATCTCAAGGTTGTAAGAGCAAACAACACACGAGGCTCGGGACCGCATGCTCAGCACAGAGTCCCCTTCAGATTCTCCCCCTCACCTTCTGCCCCTCCCCCTCCCTAAAACAAATCTTTTTTAAAAAGGTAGTAAAATAACAAAATTACAAAAAATATAGAAAGGATTAATAATAAACTCCACAAAAAAGGAATTGATTGGTTAAAAAGAAAAATGAGACATACTTTTGGCAAATCAGAATTTTAAAAAATAGGTGAAAGACACAAATGGGATTTATGAAATTGCAAGTTTTTTTAAATTATAGAACATTATATAAAAAGTCTACCTATAGGGGCGCCAGGGTGGCTCAGTCAAGTGTCTGACTCGATTTTGGCTCAAGTCATGATCTCAGGGTGGGGAGATTGAGCCCCGTGTTGATCTCTGTGCTCAGCAGGGAATCTGCTTAAGATTCTGTCCCTCCCTCCGCCCCTCCCCCTACTAACTCTCCCTCTCAAATCTTTTTTTTTTTTTTTAAGATTTATTTATTTCACAGACAGAGATCACAAGTAGGCAGAGGCAGGCAGAGAGAGAGGAGGAAGCAGACTCCCTGCCGAGCAGAGAGCCGGACGCGGGGCTCGATTCCAGGACCCCGGGATCATGACCCAAGCCAAAGGCAGAGGCTTTAACCCACTGAGCCACCCAGGCGCCCATCAAATAAATCTTTTAAAAAACAAGTCTAGGGGCACCTGGGTGGCTCAGTGGGTTAGGCCGCTGCCTTCGGCTCAGGTCATGATCTCGGAGTCCTGGGATCGAGTCCCGCGTCGGGCTCTCTGCTCGGCAGGGAGCCTGCTTCCTCCTGTCTCTCTGCCTGCCTCTCTGCCTGCTTGTGATCTCTGTCAAATAAATAAATAAAATAAATCTAAAAAAAAAAAACAAGTCTAACTATAAATTAAAAATCAAGTTTTCTAGGGAAATATAAAGTTCCAGAATTAAGGAATAATAGAAAACATAAATAGACTAATAACTATAAAAGTAAGAAGCTAGTCAAAAGAATAAAGTTGAAGGTCTCACATTGCCTGATGTCAAAACTTACTACAAACCTACAGTAATCAAAACAGTGTTTGGGGGCGCCTGGGTGGCTCAGTGGGTTAAGCTTCTGCCATCGGCTCAGGTCATGATCTCAGGGTCCTGGGATCGAGTCCTGCATGGGGCTCTCTGCTCAGTGGTGAGCCCGTTTCCCGCTCTCTCTCTGCCTGCCTTTGCCTTGATCTCTCTCTCTCTCTGTCAAATAAATAAATAAAATCTTTTAAAAAAACAGTATTTGGATGTTAACGACACATTGTGATCATTTTACAATATATACAAATACTGAATCATGCATGTTCTAAATCTGAAACTAATTCAATGTTATATTTCAATTATACCTCATCTTTTTTATTTAAAAAAAAGTGTGGTACTAGCACATGTTTGTAGCAGCATTGTTCACAATAGCTAAAAGAAGCAATCCAAATGCCCATCAATAGATGAATGAATAAACAAAATGTGGTCCATACATACACTGGAATGTTGTTTAGCCTTAAAAAGAAAGGAAGTTTTTTGACACATGCTGTAATGTGAATAAACTTGACATCATGATATGTGAAACCACAACAAGGCATACTGATTCCCCTTTTATGAGGTTATTTAAAGTAGTTAAAATTATAGAAACGAGTGGTTTCCTGTTTAATGGGTATAGAGTTTTAGTTTTGCAAGATGAAAAAGTTCTGGATATCTGCTGTGTAACAATGCGAATTACTACTGAACCATACACCTAAAGATGGCTAAGATAGTAAAAAAGGAAAAGGAAGGGAGGGATGGATAAAAAGAAAAAGAAGGAAAGAAAAGAAAAAAGGTAGTCAAAGATGTATAAGGTCATGAGCCCAGACTGTTTAAGGGATAGGTTGTGCAAATCTTTTTTTTTTTTTTTTTAAGATTTTTATGTATTCATTTGAGACCAATACAGAGAG